GCGGGGCACCACTGTATTTTGCAATGCTGGAAGCCAGGCCTTGTTCAGTTTCAGACTTTCCTCTTTTTTGTTGAAGCTATGCTGATGTTTATGGATTTCAATGGCTTCCCTGCGCAGTCTAACATAATGATTGCTGGTGTTGTCCAGTACTTCAATATTTTGAAATAGAATTTCATGTCCAGCTTGTTTCAGGGCATGATCAGCTACTGCTGATTTTTCTGGTTGTTTTGGTCTGTTTTACTGGTGAAACGTCAGGAAGAACAACCTTCAGAACACAGCCAAAGAGCCCGAAAAACCCACAACAACCATCAGATCTCAGCTGTGAAAGCCTTCGAGAATAATTTAAATATCATGTTTCCCTGAAAATAAGACAGGGTCTTATATTAATTTTTGCTCCAAAAATGCATTAAGGCTTATTTTCAGGGGATGTTTTATTTTTTCATGTAAAACCATCTACATTTATTCAAATACAGTCATGTCATCTTCTTCTGGTTGCTACACAAAGATGGAGGGTGGGGATTCACTTAACTGGGGCTTATTTTTGGGGTAGGGTTTATATTACAAGCATCCTAAAAAATCAAACTAGGTCTTATTTTCAGGTTAGGTCTTATTTTCAGGAAAACAGGGTAGAAAATAGCTGATTTATACATATATTGAATTTCATCCAAATATTAATTTTGTATATCTAAATTGCACCAATCTGGATATTCAAATAACTTTTTGTTATTTATCAGAGCATCTTTCCCACAGAACGTCAGCCATGGCCCCTACTATAATGAATAAAGGTAGAAGTCCATCAGGCCTACTCTCTCTCATCCTTTAAGAGAATGCAAGAGACATTATTGTTTCAGAAAGCATTTAAGGGCATCTTCTTTGAAGTCTCTCTACACATGGTTTTTCCATAGTCTGCCATCATCTGGGGTTTTATTTTATGTAGGTATTTATTCTATTTGTTTCATTTGGTGGTTGGGGTTACTGTTAAATTTTATCTTTGTAAACCACTTAGAGCAGTGTCCCACACTAAGTCAATGGTATATCGTTATATTGCAGGTAGGAATGTTTAAGGAATTTTTCCTTTGAAGATTCCAGTATGATCAAAATCTCTTAGACAAATGTGCAGATAGGAACTTAGCAGCTCTCCATTGAATTTCATATTTTATATACTTTAACTTAGAAATCCACATCTAAATATATATTTTAACAGATTTTTGGAAAATCACAATTAATGTGGGAATGGAGTAGAACTACAATAACAATATGGGCTGAATTAGGCAGTCTATCCCTAATCATAAGTCACTTTTCTCACTTTGCTTATAATTGCTTATGCTGCAAAAGTCTAACATTTTGAACTATAACATAAAATAGCATTTCACAAAGATTTTGAAAGCTATTAGGATTAGGATAAACATTATCATCAACATACTTGGATTTTTGTCTTGGTCCATGCCCTGATCATGTGCTTCTTGCCATTCCCAACATGTTTCACAGTAAGCTCGGATTTGTTCTAAAAGATGGAGAACACGTATTTCTCGTCTGCCTCGTTTATCATCAGGCTGGGAGTGAATGATATTATGCAGTGCTGCACTGGCTCTGGCACGGGCTTCCTTACTACCCCTGGAGTTTCCCAACAACACAGAATCTTTATCGTTGCCATGCAGAAGTTGGATGAGGAGAGGAAGGCATCCGGACTGACGCATTGCTATGCAGCTGTCTTGGGAGCTAGACATGGCTAGCAAAGTTCGTGACATGTCATCTTTGTCATGTGTACCCAACATTGACAACAATGAATACACCATTTCAACCTGAAAAAGCAAATGATTTTGGGAAAACATCAGAAATTTTTAAACTGTGAGTAACATACACTATCATGAATATTTTGGCCTGACTTCAAATAGCTGTGAATCAGACTGGTCATTGATTATTAAAATAAGTTTCATTTCATAATGTAAAAGTGAGAAACATTTAACATCCAAAATCTCTCTTTGCTGCTAAGAGCTCCTCGGGTATTTAGAATGAAAAGATCAATCTATAATTGCCTCTGAAATGTAGAAATAACCTACTTAACTTATTCTAGTAAGGTATCTTTGGAGAACAAATAGTCTTTTTCCCATACTATATTGTATAATATGAGACATAAATTACACTCAAAATGAATAAAAATTCTGTACAGTACTGTTTTTATTTAGCAAACAAATGCTAAACTGAAGCACTGAAAACCAGATGACCAAAATTAATAGGAAACAGTGTGCAACTGCTCATTCTGCTGAATATAAAATCTCAAAAATAATTAAATAAATTTAAAAAGGTTATTGACATTCTTTTCAAACTATTGGTTTTACAGCAATCTTCTAACACATTATGAAATACCAGTATTAGCATAATGGTAGCTGTTTTGATCGCACCATTCTAGAATGTTGAAATAATTACCAAAAACTGATATATTAAGTAGGTTTTCAAAGAAGTAGCCATATTAGTGTGCAACAGTATCAAACAAACAAACAAACAAACCAGAACAAAACAGAAACAATCGACAAAAACATTATGTTACCTTAAAGATTAACTGTTATATTTTAACATGTGCTTTCGTGGATCAAGTCCATGAAAACTCATACGTCTGAGGAAGTGGACTTGATCCACAAAAGTTCACACTAAAATATATCAGTTAGTCTTTAAGGTACGGGTGCCACAATGTTTTTATCTCTTGTTCTTGTTCTTTTTGTTTTGTTCTGTTTTTTGTCTGAGGGATAGATTTTATGTATTACAAAAAAAAAACCCAGTGATACAAAATACAGCTATGCATACTCTCTAAGCTGCTAAAACACCTTTATGCTTACAAAAATATTTCAAAGGTAAAATTAAAAAAATGACAGAAGGGAAGGATGTTTCAGAGAAACCTTCATTGATATGCACCTGCTCAGATCTTATACCCTTCATCTGAGACTGTGCTATGCATTCCATCTCCTGGAAGAGCAAAGTTGGATAGAGCAAGAAACAGGGCCTTCTGGGTAGCACCATCCATCCCAGTTATGAAATTCCCTTCCCAGGAAGGTTAAACTGGCTTCTTCATCATTCCCTTTTAGGCACTGCTCTGTCAAGCTGTTATTGGCTATGGATACTCTTTGATTTTATAAAGTTCCTCTGCTTCACTGCAAGATTTTAGTTTTGAAATTGCTGTAATTCCTTTTGTTTCTGATTTTATTGTAAATTGTTTTGAACATGCACAGGGTGGAGATAATAAATATATTAAATATTTTAAAACACTAAGATTAAGAACTGAGGATTGTTTTTTCCCAGCAGAACATGCTAATCTTCTGCCAGGTCTTCCACCCTCCACTGTGGAAGTAGATGGTACACAATTGCATCTGTAGCTATCAGCCACTGACAGTTCAAGCTGCTGAGTGAACCTATGATGTCAGTACAGCTTAGATAATTACAGTGGTGCCTCGCACGAGTGCCTCACACAACGATAAATTCACACAATGGCTTTTTCTGAAAAATTTGCCGCCTCACACAACGATGTTTCCTATGGGGAATTTTCGCACAACGATGTCTCTTTTCACTCATTTAAAAGTGCCTTAAACTGTTTGAAACCTGTTTTAAATGCTTGGCATCGATAGACCAGCTTGTGAAACGTAAGCAAACTTAATTTGGTGTTGTTCTGAGGCATCGTTAATTTTTGGTGAATTTTTTTCTCTCTCATTGAGAAGCATTGGACGGACCAAGTCAAAATGTTCTTAAGTCGAATCAGCATTTCCCATTAAAATGCACTGAAACCCGATTAATCCATTCCAGCTGTTTTTGTTTGTATGTAGAGGCGCCGGTTGTAAGTCAAAGCATTAGTTCCCATAGGAACAAATGCAAAACCGGTTAATCCGTCCTCTACCACTAGGGGAAGAATTTTTTTTTAACCTAAGATGACTTAGGTTAAAAAAGGGCAGGAAAGGAGGGAGGGAGGGAACAGTGGGGAAAAGAGGAAAGAGAGAAGGTCATCACTGGGGCACACAGACCCCTCAGACAAAGGTTTATGCTTTTAAGCACAAAAAGACAGAGAGAAAAGACAATCAGGGGGAGAGAGTTTGGAGTCTAAAATAGATTTTAAACCCGCACATTTTACACCAGCACATTTTAAACCGAACCAAGCAATTTTTAAACAAAACATATTTTAAACCAAACCAAGCAACTTTTAAACAAAACACATTTTAAACCAAACCAAGCACCTTTTAAACCCACCCTAGGAGCCACAGAATCCAGCAACCATTATTCCAGCAAACAGACCCCCTCAGCATAGGAGGGGGCATAGAGAGAGAGAGAAGACAATGGGGGGGGAGAGACTTGAGTCTAAACTCCATTTTAGAGCACACCGGCCAGCACAGACCCTTGCAGAAAGGGTCTGCAAGACCCATCAGAGCACAGAAATATAACCCCCCAACCTAGCCCAAATCCAAAAATCAAAAATTTTAAAAAAGCCAAAAAAAAAAACAACCACCAACAACAGTGCATACAGTACAGTACCAGGAAGTCTGAAGTCTCTCTCCATATCCACATTCACTAATCACTAGGGTGACCGAGGCAGCAGACAAGCAGCCTCTTCGATGGCCAAAGGTTAACTGAAAGTTCAAATTTCCTGCTTTCTCTGTGTTTTTTCTGTTGAGTTGAAGCTCCAGTTGCAAGTCGAAGCAAACTTTTGCGACTGGAGCTGTTTGTAAGTCGAAATGCTCGTATGTAGGGGCGTTCATAAGTCGAGGCACCACTGTATTTAACCTTAATATAGGCAGTACTTTACAATGCTGGAAGCACAGATCTAGGATCATTTATTTCATGTATATACATACTGGATAAGGTATTTTCAAGAAAGTGTGAAATAGGTTATTCTCAGGTTTGGAAACTGGTCTTACATTTTCTGCTCAGAAGGTCTTATTCATTGACATAAGAAATTTCACAGAAAAATGAATCATAACTTATACAATGGTTGTTGCTTGAATGCTTGCACAAAACCGTAACTATAAACTCTGCTTTCTAAGATTCATGCTATAAGTTATATGATATATGATGCCAATCTATTATTATGACACAGGTTAGAGCTGTAAATATTAATGTTACAAATTTGTAATCATATGACAGATATTAGAAAGGTCCTTCTGTAAATATATGATGCAGCACCAGTGCTCTGATGTTATTGTGCTCATATTTCTTATTCTAATGTTAAAAATCTAAGAAGCATAAATAAAATCATAACACAAGCACTGCATAGATAATAAATTGCTAATACTCAGTGATTTGACCCTAGAATCAATACTTTTTAAATGACTGTTTCTCTCTCTCTCTCTCTCTCTCTCTCTCTTTTAAAATCATTGGTTATACACAGTGATATGCCAAGATTTCCACACTGTTTAAAATATGTACAGTGGTGCCTCGCATTACGACGTTAATTCGTTCCAGCGAAATCGCTGTAGAACGAAAACGTCGTAAAGCGAAATTTAAAAGCCCATAGAAACACATTAAAACCCATTTAATGCGTTCCGATCGGCTGGAAACCCACCGTCCAGAGAAGATCCTCCATAGGGCGGCCATTTTCGCTGCCTTTGCAGCGAGGAATCTGTCCCAGAAAACAGCAGGGGCCATTCTGTTTACCCGGTGGCCATTTTGAAACCGCCAATCAGCTGTCCAAAAATCATCGTTTTGTGAAGAATCGGTTCCCGAAGCAGGGAACCGATCATCGCAAAGCGAAACTCCCCCATAGGAAACATCGTAAAGTGATTGCAAAAGCGATCGCAAAAAGTTCATCATAATGTGATTTTGTTGTTAAACAGAGCGATCGTAAAGCAAGGCACCACTGTATAGTAATTTAAATCAGATGTATGCATATCTGCATTTTAGCCATGCTGACCAGGGCATTCTGGGAGTTGTGATCTAAAAACACAAATTTGCACACTTCTAACTCAAATTATTTCCCATAATTGAAAAGTGCTCAGTGGATTTTCTGTTGAAATCAGTGTATTCATAGCAATACTGTACTACATGTTTTAACAACCATTACTTGACAAAAACAAAAAAACAATAATCAGTGATTTAAGGACTCAAAGTCTTCCTTCAAGAGCCTCTTTGAATGTGAACATTTACTAAACCATCCTCCTTTCCCTTCTATAAAGGACACAAGGAAGAAATCTTTACATCAGAAAAAGCAACTTTGGATTGACCTATGCATAAAACTGATTCTAGTTAAAGACTTTTCTGCAACAAAATTCATATACAGTGGTGCCTCGCAAGACGATTGCCTCGCGGGACAATTAATCCGCAAAATGATTGGTTTTTGTGATCGCTGTTCTGCTTTGCAAGATGTTTTCTATGGACGATTTTCGCAAGACAACGATTTTTCCCCATTGGAACGCATTAAATAGATTTCAATGTATTCCGATGGGGAACCGCGTTCCGCAAGATAATGTTTTCTATGGATGATTTTCGCAAGATGATGTTTTTTCCATTGGAACGCATTAAATAGATTTCAATGCATTCCAATGGGGAACCGCGTTTTGCAAGACGATGTTTTCGCAAGACAGCATTTTCGCGGAATGAATTAACATTGTCTTGCGAGGTACCACTGTATATACAATTTTATAGCATTAACTATAGTATAACAAACAAATAAATTTTAGGCAGCATAAAACATGAGAGCCAATGCAAAAAATAATGTCACTCATTGCTTTAATGGGGATGAACAATGCAAACAGACAAAATAATACTCTTTGAATCATAAAATAATTTTGGAAGGGTTCAATAGGGCCACCGAGTCCAGCCCTCTGCTCAATACAGGGGCTTTGAAAGCATTAGAGCTTAATATCATATCTGGGGCTCATTTCAGAAGTTCTTGTATAAGAGTTTTCAGTCTCTTTCACTGTACATTTTTCATTCTGAGTTTCAGTTTACTATATAGTGGTGCCTCGCTTAACGACGATAATCCGTTCCAGAAAAATCGTCATTAAGCGAAAACATCGTAAAGTGAAAATAAAAACCCCACTGAAACACACTGAAACCTGTTCAATGTGTTCCAATGGGGTAAAAACTCACAGTCCAGAGAAGATCCCCATACGGCGGCCATTTTAGCTGTCTGTATAGCGAGGAATCCATCCCTAAACACAGCGGGGAGCCATTTTAATCAGCCAGTGGCCATTTTGGAACCACCAATCAGCTGTTCAAAAAACATTTTGCGAAGAATCGGTTTCCGAAGCAGGGAACCGATCATTGCAAAGCGAAATTCCCCCATTCAGACCAGTGTTTTGCAATTGCAAAAAGATCATCATTAAGCGGATTCGTCGTAATGTGGGGCAATCGTAAAGCGAGGCACCACTGTACTTCAAAATGTTAAGGTTTTCCATTTTCATATATAGTATTAATCATATACTTTCTTTTGAGTTAAACTGAGATGAAAAACATTCATTTCTGGTCTTAAGGTTAACAGAATGTGATGGACATAATTATTATTCATGACTATTAAATACATTATAGTAATAGTAAATAATCTCAAAGCAACTTCAGGAATCCCAAAAATCACGAGACTATGAAACAATGAATAACATCCAAACTATGCTCAAGAGACAATAACTACAGTGGTGCCACGCTTACCAATCACTCCGTTTAACGATGAAATCGCTTAGCGACAGGGTTTTGGCCGTTGCCAGAGCGATCGGTTACCGATGGCCCCTATGGGGATAAATCGCTTTGCGATCATGGCAAAGCGACCCTTGCACGTTCGGGAGGAGGTGGGAGGATCCACCCGGAGGAGAGCAGAGCAGCAGCGGGCTAAGGGGGAGCCTCTCATCCGGGCCAAGGGATCCCGTGGAAGCCCACCCTCCATTGGGAGTCCCCACCACAACCACCGGCTGCTCTCTCCTCCGCCGGCTTCCCCCTTTCGCCTTCTAGCCTGGAGTCCGTCCTCCCCCCTCCTCACAAGGAGCGCCTCTGCGGCCACTTGGGCCATCAGGACACCCACACGGCCACCTCCTGCCCCTCCGAGCCGGGGGGGTGTCAAAGACTCTCCACCCCAGATCTCCCATACAGCTGCCTCCGTCCCCCGCCCTCCAAATGGCAGTTTTGCTCAGTGGTGGGGAAAGAAGTGCCGCCTTCCACCACACACACACACACACCCGCCTGCCTTGCCTTGCGCCCAAGGAGCAGAGAGGGCTACGGGGCTGACTCCTCCTCAGACCAGCAGGCTCCTGCTGCTGCTGCTGCTCCAGATTCGGCAGCACAGGGAGCACCCGCTCTTTTCTCTTTTTTTTTCTCCTCGCCTCCCCTGCCTTCTGTCTTTTTTCCCTTCCCTTCCTTCTCACTCTCTTCCAAGCCAGGCTCAAGCAGGCAGAGCTCGGGGCCCTGGGCAGCCAATCCCGGCCCTCCGGCCTTGGGCTCCGTTGGGGCGAGGGGAAGGGGAACATGCTCACACACACGCACTCACACACACACTCACACACACACTCACACACACTTGTGCGAACACACACTTGGTCAAGGAAAGCAGTGGCAGGCTCAGGCAGCCGGGCGGGAGATTAAAAAAAGAGAGAAGGAGAAATGGCTCCCTCGATAAGGAGAGCAGATGTGAACGTTGCTCCTTCCCACTTTTGCAATGCTTTTAAGCAGCTGATCGGCGGCTTCAAAATGCCCCGCCCGCTGTTTTGCTCACTTAAGAGGCACCGAAAATGGCCACCCCTATGGAGGATCTTTGCTTAAGGTTAGTTTCGAAGCCCATAGGAACGCATTAAACGTGTTTTAATGCGTTTCTATGGGCTTTTAAAAATCGCGTAACGATTAAATCACTTAGCGACATTTTTTCCGGAACGGATTAACGTCGTTAAGTGAGGCACCACTGTATTTCTGAGACATACTACAGTTTTGGTGACACCAACTGAAGGAAGTCTCATGTCTTTTGTACCCATTCGTATCTTGTAAAGTAGGACAGAGAGAGCGTCTGATGTTGATCATAAATCCCATTAAGCTTTGTATGAAAATCTAAACAATAAAACCCTTTATATAAAGTATACTTTGATTGTAAAATGTAATGTTAGGAACATTTGGAAATCTTTGGTTACCTTGGTACCCAGGTGACTTGTCAGTCTTCGAGGAACTGAATAACTACTGTTAGAATTCATAACACTAGATGCCTCATGATCCATCCGGACAGCTGACCCCTACAAGTTTAAGTAACAGGTAACAGAAACATTTCTATATCACTTTTTTTATCATTTTACACAATGTGGAAGTTAAATTAAGTTAAGAAGTCAACTCACTACAGACCGTAGCTCTACCAAAATTTTGAGTAAATTTTTAAGAGACAGATGGGGTAAAAATAGTTTAAATAAATCAATAGATTATTACAAATCTACCTTCTAGTCTGGAAATATTCACATTTCAGCAAAGTTTACTCCTATTACAGGAGCAGCTCCTTCCCAAAAAATATCTTGAATTACAACATTTTCACTTGACTGCAAACACTCCAGCTTCAAGCTTCACCACTTGATAACACTGATTATTAAGTTGAACTAAGCTGAATTCTAGAAATAAAACACTGGTGTCCAATCCATTAAGCTTTCCCTCTTTGGCCTTTCATAAGTACTAAGTAATCCCAAATGTCTCACAGGAAGACAGATTGAGTCTCTCCTATCTATAAAGCTGCAGAGAAATAAAACTGAAATTTTAAGCAGCACTTTTGTCAAGAAAAAATGGAAATCATACTGAGGAAATATCGGAATGAAAACTCATTTTTACAAGTTGTGCCATAGCTTATTTACAATAATGAGCCCTCATACCAAAAGAACAAAGTTTCTGTTAGTTTTAAATAAGAGCTATACTTTCATTAGGATTTAGAGTGAAATGTTTGTTTATTTTTCAGAATAAGCAAAGAAAATGAGCCAAAATAAGATATATAAAAACTAAGACAGTGAGTTAATCTTCCATAACATTACATTGACTGTTTGACATTTAACAGGATAAACTGGTGAGAAAGAAAAATGAAGTGAAAATTGATGAACTCCACATTTATCTGAAACCACAAGCATTATTATCTTAAGAAAACTTCTACAATCAAAGTATGAAAAATATAATGGTTTCAAGATACAGTAATTTCAAGATCATAAAGAATTTATGGATTATTAAATATACAAACATTGCTGATGCTCAAAAGCAAAATGCATAGTCATATTCAATTTGACAGCATTACCCTATCTAAATAAAAATGCAAGATGTTCCACATCCAAAGATAAGGTTCAATGGCACCCAGATTAATGCATGCAGCAATACAATAGCAACACAAAAATATACATCCACCTTCAAAAGCATATACATATATATAAAATCATAGGATTTCACCCGTCAGATTCTGCATTTTAAGATGGATATATATAAAAACTGAAAACTTTTATTTTAGAACCACATTTATCAGACATGTTAAAACCATATAATAGAAAATCCCTTTCATTAATCATGGTTTAACATTACAACATATGACAAAATGCACTGAAAAAATATGCTTCCTCCTCCCGCCTCTAGATTTACATACAACACATATTTCAGGAGTTACCTATACTAGATTTTCACTGTGAAATATTTAAGGACTGTCTATTTAAAAATTCTCTGTAGATGATTAAAGAGCATTCATTTTTTCCAGCAGACATGCCTTTTCTGATTTAACACGTGAAGGAACCCATTCAAGTACATTTCTATAACTCTACCCAAATTACTATATTCCACACAGAAAAGCATTAATAATAATAATCCTGTGCTGTCAAGTCAATTCTGAATGCTGACTTTACCTGGCTACTGCCAGCAGTTGCCACGCTGATTTCTGCTGCTCCTTGCCCTTCATTTTGCCTCTCACTTTCATGCAAACTGGCATCATGCTTGCTTGGAGGTACCCTCTGTTAAAGCAAGAGTTTATATCATTATGTATAGAAACGGAGTAACCCTTCAAAAAATTGTGAAGGCGTCAGTACTGAAGCTTCACAAAGCGAATGAACTGCGCTTTGTATTTCATAACCTCTAGCCTCAACAATTAGCAACCGAGACCGACTGCCTTAGCAAAACTGCAGGATGAAAGTGAAGCATGTCCTCTGAGGATTATAGCCCGAGAAGACAAAGGATTTGCTGTGAGACACAAAACACCATCCTCCACCAGCTGTGCTCACATCACTATCAGAAATGTAACAGAATTGGAGCAAACAACTGTCTCCTCTGCAATGTCACATGATCTCTGCATTTACTAGAGGCTATGACTGTAGCGGTTAAAATATTACTTATGCTTGAAATCAAATAGAAACACCTTCTGGGTAAAGAGCCCAGTACAGTACATGTACTGCATCAATTTCACACTAATGCCATCTATCTTTCCATTTATTGGTTATATCGTGCCCTACACTACAACATTCCCCTTAATTTGAAATAAAGTTAAACAAGCGGTTTGTTTCTCGTCTAATAGTTCTAACTAGATTAATGAAAGTGTACGGTTAACAGTAAAAACAACATATTTATTTAATTAATATTTAATTAATTTTTTTAAAAAAAATTCTCTGCCTCTCTCCTTAAAAGGACCCAAGGCTGCTTACATCATTAAAATACAATATTAAAGCTAACAAGTACAGAAGATACTAAAAAGGGTCAAACAAATACCATACCTAAAAACATAAGCAACACTGAAACACATTCAATAAAATAAGATAAAACAATCCATTTAAAAAACACCACTCGGCAGCCATTCACTCAGGGAAAGCTATTTGAAGCTATTTGAAGACAAAGGCCTTTGCCTGCTTGCGGAAGGACAGCAAAGATGGGGCCAACCTAGCCTCCTGTTTGAGGGAGTCCAAAAGCTGAGAGCAGCAACAGAGAAGGGCCTCTCCTATGTTCCCACCAAATGCACCTGCAAAAGGTGGCAGGACCAAGATAAAGGCCTCTCCTGGTTATTTTAACACTGGAGCAGGCTCATCAAGGGAGATGTGGTCTTCAAGATAGCTTGGGCCCAAGCCATTTAGGTCTTTATTGGGTTAGAATCAACACCTTGATTTCTGCCCAGAAAGGAATTGGCAGCTAATGGAGCTGCAGTAACAGGGAGGTTATGCAATCATTGTAACCAGCCCCAGTCAACCATCTGGCTACTGCATTTTGGACTTACTGAAGTTTCCTGACAATTTCCGTAGGCAGCACCATACAGAGTGCATTACAGTAATCCAGCTGGGATGTATTAAAGCATGTTTTGCCATGGCCAGATCAGAATTCTCCAGGAATGGGCCCAACTAGCACGCTAGTTTTAATTAGTGCTACTACTTCTTGTAAAGCATCACATAAAAAGCTATTTTTCCTAACATCTTCACTTACAAAGGGGCTAAAATTATTTTTCAAAGTACCTTATTTATGCTTATTTTTTTCAATTTATCACCCAAACTTTCTCCTGAGAACACAGGGCAGCTAATAAATTGCATATAGAATTGCATAAAGAACACTGTATATGTTATTTTTTTTTTACCCACCAGAGATGAATACACTTTTAACCTATGGAAACTGTCATTATACTATACCATTGGTGTGTTGCCAAGAGCTGATAGATGTAGCCCAACACATCTGATGGGAAATCTATGGCAGTTTTTCCCCAACTTGGTACCATCCAAATTCATCTCACATGATCAATATGGGAAGATGGGAACTTACTTAAAAAAAAACTTTTTAAAATTTTTAAATTAATTTTCATAGGAAAAGGGGTTATAGTACAAATAGGGAGACCAGGTAAAGGGGAGAGGAAGAGTAGGAAAGGGTAAAATTCCAGAGAGTGAAAAGTATTCTTACATCCACTTACACAATTATATTAAAAATGGAAATCATACAAAGAGGGGGGAAAACAGCAAATTTCCAAGATATCTATCATTACTAATCTTCCATTTTCTTGCACCTTCTCTTTCTTTTTATCTTTAAGTTTACTAATTTTAAAGGTCTAATATCATTCTGCCAAGTTTATTTCTATTGCTCTAAATAAATGTTATAACGATTAGTTTGTGTTTATTTCATCATACAGTGGTGCCCCGCATAGTGACGTTAATCTGTTCCAGGAAAAACGTCGCTATCCGGAAATGTCGCTATGCGGGGGGGAACCCCATAGGAACGCATTAAACTCCATTTAATGCGTTCCTATGGGGACAAAACTCACCACTAAGCGGGAATCCTCAATCCGGCCGCCATTTTCGCCGCCTCGGTAAGCGAGGAATCAATGCGAAAACGCTGCGGGCGGCCATTTTCTTCTTTGGGACCTGCCGATCAGCTGTTCCAAAACATCGCAATGCCACATTTACCCTATTCAGAACATCGCAATGCGATCGCAAAAAACGCGGCGCTATGCGGATTCGTCGTTAAACGGTGCCCTCGTTAAGCGAGGCACCACTGTATATTCTTTCACCACAAAATACCTTCTAAAATTTAATGACGTTTATCTCCACTGCTCTGCCTTCATATTCTAACCAATATTTTGTGCCCCTCTTATCATGTCATCTTTCACTTTCCATCTTATGGACCATGCATCCATTCTCAAGAGCTTCATCCACTCTATGTATTGTCTCCTTTGTCCCATCTGCCACAGCATGTGACCCATCATCTCGATTCTTCTCCCTTCCATAGTAAAGTTCATAGTAAAGTTTACCATTTGCTGCACTTCTGCCGCTGACGTCTCCAGAAAAGGGATTAACAAATTAGCTCTCCACTGCATTATATCTTCATCTTTTTCTTCTGAAGCCTTCTGGGGTTTAAGAATAAAATTGGTTCCCTCTGTTTGTGCTTTTAAAAAGTTAATTTCCTGTCGCAGTTCTGTTATTTTCCCAGTCTTCACTGTAAATTCCATTTGCATCCCTACATCTTTAGTTTGTTCAAATAGCTGATCCATCTCTGCTTTTATTTGGTGTAGTCCATTAAATATAATGTTTTGAATATTCTTGAAAATGTCTCATTCAATGATTGGAGGTATTGCCTGGATTTCTTTCCAGCAGGCAGTAAACACAGTAGTTACTGACAATGGTATCCTATGTCACAGTAATTGAAGTTTATGCATCAATCACTGATACTGAAGAGGCTGAAATTTACTAGTTCTATGAAAACTTACAACACATTTTAGAACTGACACCAAAGAAAGATGTTCTTCTCATTATAGGGGATTGGAATGCTAAAGTAGGGAGTCGAGAGATAAAAGGAACAACAGGCAAGTTTGGCCTTGGAGTTCAAAATGAAGCAGGGCAAAGGCTAATAGAGTTTTGTCAAGAGAACAAGCTGGTCATCACAAACAATCTTTTCCAACAACACAAGAGACGACTCTACACATGGACATCACCAGATGGGTAATAACGAAATCAGATTGATTATATTCTTTGCAACCTAGATGGAGAAGCTCTACACAGTCAGTAAAAACAAGACCTGGAGCTGATTGTGGCTCTGATCATCTGCTTCTTATAGCAAAATTCAAGCTTAAACTGAAGAAAGTAGGAAAAACCACTGGGCAAGTCAGGTCTAATCTAAACCAAATCCCTTATGAATACACAGTGGAAGTGAAGAACAGATTTAAGGAACTAGATTTGGTGAACAGACTGCCTGAAGAACTATGGATGGGGGCTTGTAACACTGTACGAGGCAGCAACGAAAATAGTCCCAAAGAAAAGGAAAGGCAAGAAAGCAAAGTGGCTGTCCAACGAGGTCTTACAAATAGCAGAGAAGAGAAGGGAAACAAAATGCAAGGGAGATAGAGAAAGTTACAGAAAACTGAATGCAGACTTCCAAAGAATAGCAAGGAGAGACAAGAGGGCCTTCTTAAACGAACAATGCAAAGAAATAGAGGAAAAGAATAGAAAGGGAAAAACATCTGTTCAAGAAAGTGGAGATATTAAAGGAACCATTTGTGCAAAGATGGCCATGATAAAGAACAAAAATGGTACAGACCTAACAGTAGCAGAAGACATCAAGAAGAGGTGGCAAGAATACACAGAGGAAATATATCAGAAAGATCTGGATGTCCTGGACAACTCAGATAGTGTGGTTGCTGAATTTGAGCCAGACATCCTGGAGAGTAAAGTCAAGTGGGCCTTAGAAAGCAATGCTTTATATGGTAGGAATGTAAATGGATTCAGAAATTTTGGAAATTGACTTTTAAGGGAATATATGATATATTTGGAAAAGATACTGAATTCAATTTTTAAATTAATTTGTTGTCAATTTATGATAAGATAGAACTTGATTATTGTTCAAAGGAATTGATTTCCAATTTTATGACAAGTGCTAGAATATTAATAACTAGATTTTGGAAAAATAAAAATGATATTAAATTAGAAGATTTGTATAATGAAGTATGGAACACTGCTTTAAATGATAAATTGACTACTGAAGATGAAAAGAGGAGAGATAAGCTCAAATATTTTTATGCTATTTGGGGTAGATTTGTTGAATTTGTATTAGTGAAAGGAAAGGGGAAAACCTCTAAACAACAACCAATACAATTCTGGAAGAGAAGTTCATATTAAAAGTATCGTTCCAAGGGGTCCCGTGGGTATGGGTGCACAGTAGTTTAGATTGTATAGCAAATATTTTGTATTTTTGTATTTGTTTTTGTTCTGGAAAAAAAGAAAAGAAAAAAAGCAATGTTAACAACAAGGCCCGTGGAGGTAATGGCATTCCAGTCAAACTATTTAATATCTTAGCAGATGATGCTGTTAAGGTGCTACACTCAATATGCCAGCAAGTTTGGAAAAATCAGCAATGGCCAGAGGATTGGAAAAGATCAGTCTACATCCCAAAAAAGGGCAGTGCCAAAGAATGCTCCAAGTACCATACAATTGTACTCCTTTCACATGCTAGCATGGTTATACTCAAAATCCTACAAGGTAGGCTTCAGCAGTATGTGGACCGAGAACTTTGAATTTCAAAGGGGCAGAGGAACTAGAGACCAAATTGCTAACATGTGCTGGATTAAAAAAAAGCCAGAGTTCCAGAAAAACACCTACTTCTGATTTATTGACTACACAAAAGCCTTTGACTGTGTGGACCATAGCAGACTATGGCAAGTTCTTCAAGAAATGGGAGTGGCTGACCACCTTATCTATCTCCTGTGAAATCTATATGTGGGACAAGAAGCAACAGTTAGAACTGGATATGGAACAACTGATTAGTTCAAAATTGGGAATGGAGTATGACAAGGAGTATATTGTCTCCCTGCTTATTTAAATTATATACAGAACATCATGCAAAAGGCTGGATGAATCCCAAGCCGGAATTAAATTTTCAGAAGAAATATCAACAACCTCTGATATGATACCACTCTGATGATACCACTCGAATGGCAGAAAGTGAGAAGGAATTGAAGAACCTCTTAATAAGGGTGAAAGAGAGTGCCAAAAATGGTCTGAAGCTCAACATCAAAAAAACTAAGATCATGGCCACTGGCCTCATCACATCCTGGCAAATAGAAGGGGAAGATATGGAGGCAGTGACAGATTTTATTGGGCTCCATGATCACTGCAGATGGTGACAGCGCCCATGAAATTAAAATTAAAAGACACCTGCTCCTTGGGAGGAAAGCGATGACAAACCTAAACAGCGTCATATAAAAAGCAGAGACATCACGTTGCTGACAAAAGTCCGCATAGTCAAAGCTATGGTTTTTCCTGTAGTGATGTATGGAAGTGAGAGCTGGACCATAAAGAAGGCTGACCACCGAAGAATTGATGCTTTTGAATTGTGGTGCTGGAGGAGACTCCTGAGATTCCCCTGTACTGCAAAGAAATCAAACCTATCCATTCTGAAGGAAAACAACCCTGCATGCTCACTGGAAGGACAGATCCTGAAGCTGAGGCTCCAATACTTTAGCCATTTCATAAGAAGAGAAGACTCCATGGAAAAGACCCTGATGTTGGGAAAGAGTGACGGCAAGAGGAGCAGGGGACGACAGAGGATGAGATGGCTGGACAGTGTCATTGAAACTACCAACATGAATTTGACCAAACTCTGGGAGGCAGTGGAAGACAGGAGGGCCTGGCGTGCTCTGGTCCATGGGGTCACGAAGAGTCGGACATGACTTAACGACTAAACAACAACAAAGCTTATGTCTTGGGGCAGAAAACATTTACAATTCAATCTCTATCCTGGGCTTTGTAGTTAGCAATGGTTGACAGAGGGAAGTGCTTTTCCCAAGGCTGTTTTTGGCTGCTTCATAGATTTAAATCCATTAGTAGTTTATGGTTATACAGTGGTGCCTTGCTTGACGAGGATAATCCGTTCCAGCGAAATCGCTGTAGAGCGAAATCCTCGTCAAGTGAAATAAAAAAGCCCACTAAAATGGACTGAAAACCGCTCAATGCATTCCAATGGGCTAAATACCTCAGCATCCAATGAAGATCCTCCATATGGCAGCCATTTTCCGATGCCTGTGCAGCGAAAAATCTGTCCTAAAACACAGCAGGGAGCCATTTTACACAGCGGGCAGCCATTTTGAAACCCGACAATCAGCTGTTTTGATCGTGGTAAAGCAAAGAATTGGTTCCCGAAGCAGGGAACGTATTATCGCGAAGCAAATTTTGCCCATTAAAACATCATTTTGCGATCGCAAAAATGATCGCAAAAACCTCATCGTCAAGCGGATTCGTCATTTAACGAGGTAATCGTTAAGCAGGACACCACTGTATTGTCCTGTGGAAGCGAGTTTTATTGCTGCAATAGAAGCAAAGTTGTTTTTCAGCCCCCCTTTCTCCTTTTTTCTGTTTCTCCTAGTCAAGTCTCAGATTAAGGGGGGGGGAATGTTCACCGGTCTGGCCAGATATTGGTCTATTCACTTTCTCTGACAGTGTCACGTTTCCAGGGGTTTTAACAGGCAAAAGTCCATTAAACCAGTCCAATATCAGAAGTCCACTAGATGCAAAACAGATACCAAAATGCCAGATCCAAAACACAAACCATAGTCAGAAGTGAGAATCCAAAGCCGAGGGTCCAGAAGACAAGGTCCAAAATGAGCAGGAGCGTGGATGCAGGCCAGAGGAATTGACTTGTTGCTTCCACAAGCTTCCCAGCCGTCTGGGAGCTGATTATATAGCAAAACAGTCATTGAACTGCAGGAAGCCTTTTCATCCTGTCAAAACTCAGGACTAGCTGACCGGATGTTTCTGTGGGCAGCATTCTACACGATCCTCTGACCTTTGCGTCATAAGTCTTTGCCGAAGCCTAGCCCTTACTCTGGCTACTGGGGGAGGAGAATCTTGTGGGGATTCAGCTGTCTGTGCTTCTAATCGCTCAGCATTCTCCTCAGCTATAGTTAACCCCTCAAGTTCCGGATCTTCAGCTGAACTCATGACAGACAGCTTGCACCCACTCTCTTCATTGTTTAGGTCCTTAAGAATTCCATATGTAAAGTAAGCCACTTACTTCATGTTCTGGTCAAGATTATTTCCAAAATCCTTCTGTAATTTTCCATTCTTTGCCGTGGGGCATTCACAGCTTTGTGCCACTCAATTTCTGCTTCTAGATGTGACTTCAAAGAGAGGCGAATCCCGGGTCTCCTCCCTTCTCATTCAGATTGTTACTTCAGACTTTCACTTCTCGTAGTAAAAGTCCTTTCCCCCACAAGTTTGTGGGGGGTCAAAACTTAGTGGTCTTGGTCAGTTTCAGGAGCCCTCCTGAAACCCGACCAATCTCACTGAGCTGAAGCCCCACCCTCGTAAGATGGGAACTTACTTAAGAGTACTGTACTGATTTGCAGAATGCTGCTCAACATAGTACACAGAAACATCAAACAGGTACAATGGCATACATATGCTGCACACATTTAATAATTTCAAGGAGTTCAGTGCTTTGTTAGACTGTCTGGGCTTATGACTGAATCTAACAGCAGGAACTAAACTAAATATGGAACTTTATCAAAGAGAATAATCTGGGGTGCTGAATAACAGAGGCCAAAAGCCATGTTGGGACATTAAAACATCAGGAAAAATTAAGTCAAGAGAAATAAGGATGGAGACTAGAGGTTTAATCTGAGAAATACAGGCAGATGGCAAATGAATCATTATAGCATCTGTTATTAAGTATTTATACACTGACCTCAAAATATTTTGCTCCCAGGCCAGTCTACAAAACAAATCGATAAATGCAAGAATATAACCCAATTTAAAACCAGCAGAGTAAAATAGTACAAAATCACAAAAAATTAAAAATTCACATTTTATAAACCTGGGGATTATTGTTGCCCAGAATCAAAATAAGTAAGTCTCCTTAAGGAGAATGATCATGAACATGCTACTAGTAAGAATATATCTTCATAAATTGCCATATGCTGCCAGCAAAGTGAGTGACCTGAAGAAGGACTATGAAAAATAACCTCAATATACAAGAAACACAAATGGAATTTAGCTGTTAAGAGGAGGCGCAGAAAAGGGGATGGACTGATCCATCTCGAACACTGCCAAGAAAATCCTACTGGATTAATAAACAAAAATATCTCCAGCAAACATCTAAAAGAATAAAATAGTTTGGCTGTCCATGCAGAAGGGCAAGTGATGCTGGTGGCCATGGGCAGGAAAACTGTGCACAAGATGAGAAGGAAGGGAAGGAAAAGTGAACATATCGGACATTCCCAATCTTCTAAACATGGAGTGGGGGACAGAAAAGACCAAAGCACATGCAGTGAACCAGAATGAACCCCTAGTATCTCCAGGTAGGAATGGGAATGATTCTGGTCTAAAACACTGGTGTCCCATTACGAGCCAACATAGAGAGCACTGAGGTAGTTATACCAATGATTTGGACCAGGCAGTGTTCTATATTTCAATGAATATAACATCAGGATATTGAAAACTAGCTTTAGCACAACATAGAATATGGCACAACAGCCAGAAGGGGTTGTAGATTTGTAACAAACCAGGAGAAAACAGGTGATGCAGACAATTCTTTATAGTAAATTAAAAATACCAAGTATGTACCGGGAGCACTATTCTTTTAAGGGTTTTGTTTAAAAACTAGATTGATGAATAATGACTACTGCTGTGTTTTCCCATTATGAATTCACAGAGGCCATGCCACTTTGAAGAAACAGGCAATCTTTGGTATTTTTATTGATTTGTGAGGACTGTTGGTTGTGTGAGCTACCTGAGTACTTCACACTGAGAAAGAAAGATGGAAGATAAATTCTTTAAATACTGTATTCAAACAAACTGTAATTTTCATTAAGCACCATAATATTGTTCAAGTATAACTCGGAGATCACAATGAGTTGTTCACTTTTCAATATAGAATATTGTATATTCTATATTCAACTGACTCTGCTTCAATTCTTACTGTGTCTAAATAAAAGACAGAAAATAGAACTGACCTCTCCTTCAGAAACCTGGGACTGCAGAAGCTGTCTTATACGTAGAATATCCTTCTCAATTTGTTGAATTCTGGCCACTCTCACCTGGAACAAGAAAACATTTCAATTACTGGGAGGAAGAAATGTCAAGACTTAATCAACTACAGTCGACCCTTGACTTACAGATGGCTTGACTTACAGACTTTTTGAGTTACAGACTTCTCTGGCCGCAAAATTTAGGTTTGATTTGCAGACTGAGATTTGACTTACAGACCAGAAAAAAACCAAAATGGAACAAAAACTGCCTGTTATGGGATTAATCGTTTTCAATGCACTGTAGGTCAATGGAGACTTGACTTACAGACTTTTTGACTTGAGAACCACCGTCCAATACGGATTATGTTCTCAAGTCAAGACCCCACTGTACAAGCAGAGCTGCTTCCATCACATTAAGAAAATATATCTAAGGTTGAAACTGAAAGTATAATAATTCTGATGCAATGTAATAATTGGTTCATTTCTAGAAAAAATATGGTAATTATTGTCCACTCAAAAAGTAGAAAATACGGCAGATTGTTGCCAGAATAATTTCAAATTCTTAATCTTGTCCTGGCACTAGAATTTGGTGCCTCTAACCAAATTAATCCCAGTTATTTATCTCACTCTTCCATGTAGAAATGGGAACTAGATAAGACACTGAAATAATATACACTAAATAAAATACTAAACAATATTTGTAGTGTTTTGTGCAAAAGCAGGTCGATTTGTCCCAATCTTCATTTTAGAGCCATGTGAGATTTCGACATCAAGCTTTAAAATAAGCCCTAATCAATTGCTGCAAAAGCCAGAAAAAACAATTTAGGATCTGTAGTCAGCAATGTAGCAACTGACCAGCATTTATTTTAAATGAAGTCAGGAATAGACCAAAGAGAAAATAAACTGGTTTATTTCTCCTGGTTGTGTACAAAGTAGAGGGGGACCATCAGCTTACCTGGCTCCTTTCTGTTCCTGCTTACATATACAGTGGTGCATCGCAAGACAATTTTAATTCATTCTGCAGAAATCGCTGTCTTGCGAAAACATCATCTTGCGAAACGCGGTTCCCCATAGGAATGCACTGAAATCTATTTAATGCGTTCCAATGGGGGGAAATCACTGTCTTGCGAAAATCTTCCATAGAAAACACTGTCTTGTGAAACGCGGTTCCCTGTAGGAATGCAATGAAATCTACCGTATTGGGGAAAAGCAATCCCCTGACCTGCACTGCCTCTGGAAATGCAGTGGGTCTCAGATGGCCTTTCCCCTCTTTTTCTCTCCAGCAGCAAAGAAAGAGGGTGAAAGGAGTCAAAGCAGCCCCCTGGCTCCAGATCGTGACTCCTTTTGCCCTGATCCTTTGCCACTGGCGAGAAAAAGAGGGAGAATGCAATACAAGACATCTCCAAGACTTGCTGCCTTTACGATAGGTCCTGATGAGGGGAAAAGACATCAAAAGTATTCTAGAAAGAATCTAGTGCACAGGTATTAGCATAAGGTATTAGCATATATATATATATGCTAATACCTTATGCTAATACCACTGCACTAGAGGACTGTGGGAGGAACACCTAGCCCCTGATGGGGGTCCCACGGGGCACCCCAAAACACTGAGGAGCTCTCTTGGCCTCTGGTGGGAATGGGGCTGTGCAGCCCTGTTTTGAGCAGGAGGTGCAGCCAGGGGGTCACCATGCCTTGGGGTCAGGGCACAGAAGGGGGCAGGAGGTGCAAGGGCCGCTCCAACTCATACCTTGCAGGGGAAATATGGTCATGAAAGTGGTTTTCCCAGGGGGGGGGGGCTCCTCCATTGCACTTCAGGTGTGCTGATCCCTGTGATTTCCCCAAACGTGGGGAACTCAACTGCATAACTTGTGGTAGTGGGGGATTGCATCTGTGTTTTCCCTGGTCTTTTTTGAATCTCTTTACCCTTTGGTCCTTGGCTGTTTTCACCATCCTCTGCCATTTAAATTTGCAGCCATTGGCCCTGCTGGCTTTCCAGGAGGCAGAGCCTGGAGGGCCAGCAGCTCAGATGGCAGAGCAGCAAGGTCCAATGCAGCTACCACAGTCAGCAGCCTCTGCTGCTGGTTTGGAGGCCTTCTGGCATAGTGGTGGAACTGTGGGGGCTTCTGGGTGGGGGTGGCTAAAGGGGTTTTTAACCATTTTTTTACAGTATTCACTCCATAAGACACTATGGAGCGAAAAATATGGTAATGCATTCCAATGGGGGGGGAACCATCTTGCAAAGCATCGGTCTTTAAAAAAACCTGACTTGCAAAAATCGTCTGTAGGAAAAATTGTCTTGCGAAGCGCCACAGTGATCGCAAAAACCCATCGTCTTGCAGATTAATTGTCCCGCGAGGCAATCGTCTTGCGGGGCACCACTGTAACATTAAAACTGTGGCTAAACCATGGCAACACCATTACACTATATTTTACTTCCTAATAGATCCTTACAATTTTTCATTAGGTACATTTTTATCACTCATCATTCATCTCAGTCATTCATAAGTCTACACAAATTAACAAAGCCTTGTGTCATAATTTAGTACACACTGAAATTGCTAGTCCTTAATAAAAAAAATTATGTTCCTATACTTCTGTGAGATACTCAACAAATCCTGTGTTATAAATACATTTCATTATAATGTTATCCAAATGAAAAGTTTTACTTTCCATTGGCAGAACAATTAAAACAGGGGAAGCTGTGTGTACCTTTCTGTTTAAAACAGCTATAACAAGAGAACCAGGGAAGTTTCAGATTTTTGGCCCTCAACTTCCCTCAGCCATAGCTAGCAGGTCCCAGAGCAAGGGATGATGGAACCTGTAGTCAAATATCTGACAGGACACATATCTACCTCTGAATTATATATTCTTTAATTTGCACTATGAGAGACAATGTCCAAAAGGGTCCAACAATAAAAATATCAGAGATGATATAGTTTTAATTTTATATGATAGCACAGTTGACCAACACAAGTGGTAAAATTCTAAAGGTGAAATCCTATGCACACCTACCTGTACACAGGTTAAACTTCTTGAGGCTTCCTAGAAATACATAATGCTATGGTTCAAAAAAAAAACACCAAATGATTGAAGAGTATTACCAAATAAGGAGAACAGCCCGAGAAGCATGTGTAAGCTGTTCTGTGCTCCCTGGAGTTAGAGGTGCTTATAAAAACAGTAATAATAAACTGCAAAAATTTGAATCCTTTTTGCATTTTCATTCTAAATAAAAACAACTATAGACTGCATTCTACACACTTCCGTCCACAATGTGTTTTAATGCATCCAGTTCTCGTGTTTACTTTTTACACATTGTCTGCAATCCTGTTTTGTAGCTATGCAGGCATAACTTGATGTGTACCTGCAGTAGTTGCAATAGTATTAAGGCAGAAGTGTTATCCATGCATTGTGCAACTGGTCACAAAGAGAATTTGCATGAGCAACTGAACTGTGCAATCTGCACTGCTTAGGCCAGAGGTTCCCAATCTTAGTTAACCCAGGTGTTTTTAGACTGCAACTTACCAGTAACTCAGAAAGCATTCTATATAAATAACACATTCAAAGAATATAGAATAATTCAATTGCATACAAGTAAACTCAATCATTTATTCTTTGCATATATGAACGAATGTAGACACACTTAACTGGTGTGTTTCATTCTCTTATTTTTAGTGAGCTTTAACAAAAGGACTTTAACATTCAGAAATGCATATTCTCAAAAGTTATGTCTGAAGGGCCTACACTGCTCAACAATAATAAGTTTTCAGTGTTAAATCACCCTGTGCATGTAAATGTTGTAAGCAATTTAAGAACAAGGTAGCCAAGGGCATCATTCTTTTGTAGATAACCTTGCAGAATCAAGAGCAAAGAATCAATGAGGCTGATGCAAATCATAGCCTGCTTGGAAGTCATTTCTTGTACTACTCCATCTCAAGGAGAAACCAGGAGAAAGAATCAAGCTTGTGTACTTTTTCCTGTTCAGCCCAGGTATTTGTTACTGAGATAAAAGGAAACATTCAAATCATGAAGTTCTGTGGCTGTTTCAAGTTAAGCTCTCTGTTACCATGTCATATAAACAGTAATCCTATGTCTCCTGCCCTGCCTGTTCAGGAAAAAGAGAGAAAACGAGAAACAAGGAAGAATATATCCAAGCCCTAAAGGAGAAGAATGTAATTTGAAGAGTTTGCTCCAAGGACATTTGCTTCACAAAAGCCAAATGATTGAGGGGCACACCAAATAAGGAAGGTTCAAAAAGGAAAGGTAAGCTGGAACAAGATACTGTATTTCATAAGTATATAAGTAGATGCAGTTATATCATTTCATCCTACAAAATCATTATTATATATTTTTAATTCTGTGAGCTAAATTGCAATGTTGCTCTTTTAAATATTTTACATTCTAACTGCTTCCTTATTTTAAGAATATAATTTGAATGTGAGACATTATTTCCTTCTTTAAACTTCCTGTATTTTAGATTTAGTTTTAATAAACTCATATAAATCTTCACATTTTTTGCAAAATCTTGATGCATAATTACCTGTGCCCTCTTCTCCATGTCCTGGCAAGTGCCAAGCTGTTCTTCCATGGCAGCTCTAATCTGCCTTGCCTCATATTCCAACTGTCTTCTAGTCATGTCTGTCTGCAAAGAGAACTAAAACCAAAACAAGAAATAAAACAATCTCCACCAATTACACTGTTAGCATTCGATTCACATAACCTAAACAAGGAGCTTTAAGTTGTTCTGTGAAAATCGGCGTCTTGTGAAAAAATCGTTTTGCAAGGTTCCCTATGCATCAGTCTAAAAAAAAAAGTCTTGCGAAGCATCGATCTAAAAAAAAAGTCTTGCGAAGCACGGTCATAGAAAAAAAGTCTTGCAAGACACCATAGTGATCGCAAAAACCAATTGTCTTGCGGGTTTTTGTCCCACGAGGCAATCGTCTAACGAGGCACCACTGCACTATACTGAAGAAATGACACCACTAGCAAAGCTACCCAGGCAGAGACTTTCATAAAGGAAAATCTATGAATAGGAAAATGTCTGCAGTGCGTTTTGCAGTGTTCATCATTTTCCACCCCAATACATTGATACTGCCCACATACCTGCCTACCAAGACTTCCCCCTGCCCCCATTTCGCTACTTCAAAGTTTCTGCAACAGTACAGGAAAAATATAGGCAAGTATATCGAATAAAGGGATCCTTAAATCTTTGAAATTTGCATTTATGTACATACTTATGTCTTACTTGTCCCTCAAAAACTGACTACAATCAAAATGGCTTCTCTTATCCTTATAATTCATGGGGTTGAAAAATTTATAATCATTTCAACATTCAAGCATCCTGCACGTAGATGTCAAGTTTGCAGAGATACATCTTTAAATACGTAGTCACCTTTTGCTGTACTTTATATATAGATTTTATTCTATTTTATTTTTTTCTATTACAGTACTGGATTTTTATTTCATCCTTTTTTACTATCTTCTTTATACAGAGTGTGTACATGTACGAGCACACAAACACCCACCCACAGAAAAATGTCCCAGTTTGTAACTTGCATAAACAAGGATTCCTAAGGTTCAATACTGAACCATTTTGTTGCCTTCCAATCCTATTTATGCTGAATTATCCAACCAATACTGGATTGTCATGTGGAATACTACTTTCACTGTGGACAATTTTGAGAATCACATTTATTTAAGCAAAGATGAGGACTACCAAACAACTGGCAGCTATGTACTGAGCAAGGACAGTTAAAAGTTCCAAAGTACAGACTCCTATGTAGAAAGATTGGAGTGGGACACAGCAGACAGTCTGATATGAACAAATTAGAGATGGCATTTGTGTAAAACTAAGTAATTTACTGAATCTACACTAAGTGTATCCTTTGCACAAAAATGGGAGATTTTATGCAAAGGTTGCACGGGAAGCTAGGTTGTCTCCATATTTGATGTCTTTCGGCAAGCAAGCAAAAGCCTTTCTCTTTAGGCAGGCTTTTCCTTAGTGGCTGGCAGCCTGAGAGGGTTTTTTTAAATTGATTGTTGTGCTCTGTATTTTTTTAACTGTGTTTTTAGCATTGATTTATTTTTGTTTGTTTGTTTTAATGTAACACTTAAAATATTTGTATACTTACTGTTTTTAGCTTTTAAATATTGTCTTTTAATGATGTAAGCTGCCTTGGTTCCTTTTAAGGAGAAAGGCAGGGTAAAAATATTTTAAACAAACAAACTAATTTGGTTTTGAAAGACTGTAAAACATATAATCCTCAAACATATTAGCTGCATCAGTTATTACTACTACTTACACTTTCAGTTAGAGGAAGACTATCTATTCTCTTAGTTAAATTCTGAAGCTGTGCGTAATACCAGTCTTTTTCTTTTTCTTCCTTTTCAAGCTCAGCAAGCAAGAGCGATCTGTAGATATAGAAACAAGTATCAGTCATAATGGACTATTAGCTAACAGAAGTTATATAATATCTTTTATACAAATATGGCCTGTGCAGGAGAGACCCGAGTCAGTGAGCTATGTTTCTCTTCCTAGTTTTTTCAATGACTTGGATGGGCCACAATTAACATGGCACCCTGCATAGAGCAACATGTATTCTTCTGAAAAAGAATAGCATAATACCTGAAATACAATTCCAAATGTACTTCCAAGTCAATATATGTAAGGATTTTCCATTGCGCACATAATCCCAAAACCACAAAGCTGATCATTTTGAAAGTGCCATAGAACTTTGCTGTTCAGCTGTAACAGGCTACAACTAACATGAATACTGCTGCCATGAAAATATCTATACAGAAGTGTCTCTGAATTCAATGGCTCTTGTTGTCAGGTGAATACAGTGGTGCCCCGCTTGGTGATTACTTCGTTATACGACGAAATCGCTTGATGACGATGTTAGCAATCGCAAAATGATGACTCTATGGGCAATTTTCGTTCGACGATGATTGGTTCCCTGCTTCGAGAACTGGTGTTTCGCATTACGACAATCAAAAAGAGCTGATCGTCGGATTTTCAAAATGGCTGCCCACTGTGCCAAATTGCTCCCCGCTGTTTTCAGGACTGATTGCTCGCTATACAGGGATAATAAAATGGCCGCCCTATGGAGGATCTTTGCTGGACGATGAGGTATTTCCCCCATTAGAACGCATTAACTGGTTTTTAATGCATTCTAATGGTTTTTTACTTTCGCTTGACGACGATTTCGCTCTACAGCAATTTCGCTGGAACGGATTATCGTCGTCAAGCGGGGCACCACTGTATATGGATACACTCATACCCATCGCTAATTACAGTATATAATATTAATTTATGGGATAAATTAAGAACAATTTTTGAAGTGATTTACTGAAGAAGATTTTATTTGGGGAGCAAGTAAATTGTCTTGCTTTTTGCTAAATTCTCATAACCATTATATTCACAATGTATATCATCAGAATATGCAGATTTTATCAGATGGCTTGCTCTAAGTTATCAACATGTGCCTCACTTTGTCTCCTCTTCCTTTGTCATCATTTGTGATTAGCTCTGACTATTGATCTTAAGTTACTGGCAAAATTGAGATTCCACAAGATAAACATGTGCCCACTTGCCACAATCCATGAGATGGATCCAAAGATCCTCATCTGCAAACAAAAGGAATGTATCAGGTCATGTTTGATTGCCCTCAACATCTCTCTACAGACTCAAGCCACCCCAAGAATCAGGTGCAACTCCATAATGGTGTGCAATGGGAAACATACATCTGTGTGTACCTATGGAACTGATGGTTGGGTGGAGAAATGCAGTCAGTAGAAACCTGTGCCTTACTTCTAGCTATGCATGTGCAGAAGTGCCTTATGCCTTTGGATCCAAGCACTGATCTTTACAATTAAGAATAAAATAATTGGCAATGAAAATACATATACATATTCTTACATAGTCTCATTCAACTTTCACATATTGACATCCTGATTCAGAACTGTTAAGGCAACAGCGATTTGACACTTGAAACTAATAATAAGCAAGTGCTTCCAGGAGTCACATCTCTGCAAACACCAACTGAGAAAAGAAGCGGCTTCCAACTGAAGACGACTCCCACACAGATGGAACGTCTTGATAAAGAGAGTATTCCCTGTACAGTATCTAACTGCTAAATGGCATGGGTTTAGTTTCTGGTCAACAGATAGATCTAGGAGCACAACAAAAACAATGCACTTGGTGCGCCATATTTTAATTCATTGGCTCTTCTGGCTTTAATATTTTGGGAGTTGTAACGAAGAAAAAAACACTTTCCTCCATTTTTGCAAGAGGGTCATTTTAAGTATTTTTGCTTATTAGTTCCACAGTTTGTATGTCCACATACTGTATGTCTTGTGTGAAAAATTACCTCTCTTTCTCTAATTCCTCTAAATAGCCGGTGCTCTCTCTGCTTCCATTCATAAAACCTCTTCTGGGAAATGATCCCATGGGGACAGGGCTGCACTCTCCTGATCGGCCAGAAACTGATCCTTCCCTGCTTCCATATGAACGCATGGATATCTTTGGCCTTAGCTTCACTCCAGGGAAGTTACTGCTGTCCAAGTTCAGTTCTGAAGAGGAAGAGAAAGTATTGGATTAATGAAATCTAACAAAAAGGTTATTAGCACCATCATTCTTTACATATTTACTTCCTCCTATTACACATTCTTTCTTCCATGTAATAAATAAATAAACCAAGTAACAAACATCCTAGTAAATTCAAAAGGAAAAAATTACTAATAAATGTACAAATAAGTACGAGTTGGTAAAATTCTTGAGATTAATGTACCAGCAAACTGTCTACTTCACTTCCTTTACAGTACCACTCATTTTTAATCAAAGTATGTGTGATAAAATGTTTTGCTTACTCACTCTTTTATATGGAGACAAAAATATTTTCCAGTCAATACAAATAAGAATTTAATACATACAAAGCATGGCTATACCTCAATATGAGAAAGTTCTGCTGTCACAAAACCACTAGCAATTCCACATGGCATGCAGGGAAAACACTTTTTCCCTAGAAGGACCTTGTTTCTCACAGCCCACGGAGAAGCAATTCTTCAGGGAGCACGGAGAGGAATCACAACCATATTCCCCAGCAGAAACACTGAGACTTGTGTAATGACAGCATCAACTTTGGCCACATGTAGCCTATGTGCTGCCTACTACTATATAAACCCATATTGCTAACTGATACCAGGTTTAAGGTGTGACCCTCTTCCTTCAAATAGCAAGTTTATGTGAAAAAATGTTTTAACCCCAAAGTTGTCCATCTCAATACAAGATAAATGGCCATTTTTTAAGGAAGTGTTTTTAAGTCTTCTCAATTTACCTTTAAGACGCTCTAGCAAATCGATCTGTCCAGAGGAAGCCATGGCCTCATCTTCAATACTTCCTTGTAACTGCTTCAGCACCTCCTAGAAAATAAGGAAGCATAGTATTAACAAAACCACAGCAAAATGAGCTAAGAGTAATACTATTTTTCAAACCTTCCCACCTCCCAATGGATCTACTGGAATCTTGTGACCTAGATATCATTTCCCTCATGTCAAGATAAAATAACGACTTTAGTCAAAACCGGAAAAAATCTTTTTCTGATTTGAAGTGAGCATAACACAAGCAGCATAGCATGTAGACATGAATTGCCTCAAGTTAATAAGTTAGCAGAGACATTAGCTGTTGCACTCTGTACATAAGTCTGTGAACAACAGAAAATGTTTATACTGTTTACATCGCCTACAGTGATTTGCATATAAAAGTTATACCTTTTGTGTTATACTTCCAGGTTTAATTAACAGGATTTTGGCAACTTATAAAGCCTCTTAGTAGAGAGTTAGAATCAGGGATTCAACAAAGGCATCCAAGGTTTCAATAATGTTTCTCTGACTAGAAATAAGGGGATGGGGGGGAGAGAGATTTAACCAGTAATTTCTGTAATTTCCTCACACTGTAGCATAATACCATAGAAGTATCATAGAATATTAAATCTAGTTGCTGAATAACCTAATGATCAATGTAAGAAATGGATACATAAAAGCATGATTCTCAGCATCTGTATGAAAATGAATGACCACACAGACTGAGAAAAACATAATAAATTTATCACTCAGTGGCTGCTGGATTAAGAGACTCCTTTAGGCTCCCAGGCTCTTAATGCTCGATGGCCTACATTCAGACAGACAACTAGACAAGAGAACTCAAAGACTTCCTATTTCAGAAGCACCATCAATAACTAAAGCAATCTGAAAACCATAGCTACAAGGCAAAATCTCTACAACAGCCATTTTCAACCTTTTTTTGGCCACGGCCATACACAGTGTATGAAAGAAATATAGGTTGAATCAGGATTGTATAAGTCGCATAACAAATCTTATAAGATGGTATGTGAAGATTTTTTTCCAGTCTGTGGTCCCCTTCCACTTGTGCCAGGGCTCCCCAGGGGGACATATGGTCCCTGTTGAAAAATGGCTGCTCTACAGTATAAAGACTTATTATATATTTCTATATTATGCAGTAGACATGACGGCTGAAATCCTATCATTCAATTAACTAAACATATGGTTTTGAATTTGCACTTTGAGATACTGTAAGTTATTACGGGCACTAGCAGATTGTCCACTGTTTTCCTTTCTTTTTAGCTTTCACAGTCCATTGCTCCTGAGAGACATTGGGCACTAGCCCTTGCTGAGATTTCTTTTCTAAAACTTGTGACTGTATAAATTAATATATGCCCCTGTTCTGTGAACTGTGATCATGAAAGTTGCTTTCAAACAATTCTCAGTAGCTTCCTCCTTCTCCCCACATTTTCTTGTGTCATAATTAGAGATTATGACACATTGTATTCAAATATCCCTCCACGGTATAGATGATGAGGGTCTGGCCCCATGGGGCCGGACGGTTGACTCACTATTGCGCCACTGCCGTGACTGCCGCGGAGTCTTCCAATGGCTCCGGAGATCACGTTTGGCTCAGCACTCCTGGCACGAGGCGGAACGACAAGCCTCTCTGCTAGGTTGAAGAGTGGCTTGCTGAACGCAATTTCCGGAGCTATTGGAAGGCTCCACAGCGGTCGCAGCAGCAGCAGCAGCGCAATCATGAGTGGATTGTCTGCCCCCATGGGGCTGGACCCTCGTTATCTCCACCTGTGGGGAGATATTCATATTCATAGACAAATACGAATACCCCCATCTCTGGTCATAATGCATGAAATACCCCTACCCTCGAGAGAGTCTTGTTCGAAGGCACAGAATAGAGAGGGACAGTTGCCTTCTACAAGTTTTCTTTCATAAGTAGTTCTCAGGCTTCAGCCAAATATTTATGTGAAGAACCATTCCTCCATAGATCCCAAAATGGAACACAACAAGAAGATGAAAAATAGGCTGAATTAGAGTGGTACTAGGCAGTGATGTAGGCATAAAGTTTAGCAGAAATATGTCAACATTGATATAATATATTAATATAAAAAACTATGTATAGGCAATTTACCTTTTATTTTATATTGTTTTAACTATCTTTTAATGTTTTAATTGCTTCCTCGTAATATAAATATTACATATACGTATTTTAATTGGTCAGAGACTGCAAATAAAGACTGGTTGTTTGATGCAACTTTGGCAGTGGTTGCTTCTCCTCAAACCCTCCTTATACCTCACAAAATTCTAGTTATTTAGATGTCCTGAAAGACAAGCAAAATCTGAACACCTGTGAAGCACACTAAAAAATCTGACCCTTTTCCTCCTTAAAATTCAAAGCACACTATCCATGCAGGCACTCACCCAGATTAAACAGAAACCTAAAGGGAAGATAGGCTCAGGGCATATATGTAGATCCAACCCCAAAACATCGCCACATTCCAGACTGCTTCAAAGATTTTTGCATAATCAATTCAAATATCTGAAGAGAGTTTTGTAGGTGCACTGAGCTCAATGCACCTACAACCTCTTTTTCAGATCTTTGCATTGAATGCATGAGGTTCTGAGACAACCAGGGGGACAATATGCACACTCATCAACATCCTGCCTCTACTTCAGCTTTATTTGTGTTGCACAGAACTATACTCTGGGCAATCAATTTTCTGCTGCCTAGTACTGGAAGTATCACTGGCTGATTAAACAGTTGCATGGTGTTGTTTTCGAAACTATCTTGTGACTACAGGATGATCTTCCACTTGTTACATATGGGAGTCACAGTTTGGTTGGATGTCAGTACCATCTTCCTGTAATTCACCAATTCATTATCAAGCATTCACTTTATCCAGTGCAGTAAAGTGCATTAGAGTAGGCCCTCTAAATCAATGGGATATGGTGAATTAACTCCTCCATATGACCCGTTAATTTAAATGGGCCTAACCTAACTGTGACTTCCTGTACTAAAGTCACAGAGTAAACTCATTTGAACCACAGTCTCACAAGAAAGAATTCTGACCATAACTACTCAGTAATCATCCCATAAGTACAGCTAGATTCTTTGACAAACCATAACCTACAACAACCACAGCTCTATAATTTTTGGACAGCCTTGCTGTTGAAGCAAAAAAACTGTAGTTAGGAGGCTCCTTTCTATCTTATGTTTGGCAGAGGCAAGCATTTTTGATTTGCCAAACCAGAAACTATAGAAGACACTCCTCCAAACTTTCTTGTAGGAAAGGCAGGCAAGGGTCATTCTAGCCGTAGTCAGTTTCCAGTGGGAGGAGTCTACTGAACAATGGCTGAAGGGACACCCCACCACTGGGGGAAAGCAGTGAGAATGGTGGCTTGATTAATGACAAGCTGTGGTTTCCAAACACCACATTTAAATATTGATCAAGGAAGCCCATCTCCTCTAAACACTTTCCTGAGGACAGCACAAAGTTTGGCAGCTGAACCCTACATGGCCAATGAACTCTGGGCTTCTTGGCCACACAGCTGCCAAACCATCCCCAGTTTTCCTCACAAGCTTAGAGCTAGGGAGATGTATGGGGATCACCATGCATCCAAAGAGATTACCTCTAATCAACTTTAAGTTTCAAAGTTGGGAGATAGGATGGTTGCTTATCATGTATGTCAGTGATTGCTGCTATTTGCTATGACAAATGCCTGGCTCTAACATTCTTTTTACACATATTCTTATTTATACTGCCAGTGACTGAAAAGAAATCACCATTTGCTTTTTGAATTCATTCTGACTTGCTTAAAACTGTCAGGAACTAATGCAGCTCAGTAGATAGAATATTGGACTAAGACTCAGGAACCCTGGCTTCAAATCCCTACTCAGACATGGAAATGCAGTGGGGGTGATGGTAATAGTATAGTATACCTTGAACAGCTCACATACCTTAAAAACTCTACTAGGATCACTCTAAATTCAAAGTGACTTGACAGGACATAACAACATTAGAATATCTATGCTAGTACATTTAGCTAGATCCATAATGTCCCAGACAGAACAGCCATGTTAGAATCATGAAGCAGAAAACAGACCAGCACATGAAGAGCTGGATTTAACTAGAGAGTTTTTCTTTCATTTAGGTTTTAAATTTTTCAGCTGAGAGGATTATGAGCTTTTCAAATCATCACAGTATTGGGGATTTATTTATTTTTTTAAAAAAGACAGACCTTTCTACAGTTTTGCATTAAACAGAAAGACAAGGACAGACATGCCTATTCCCCAACTGACAGCCCTGAAATTTATGGACAAGAGCAACACTGCAAACCTAGACATCAGAGATTTGACTAAGGGCTCATGCACATACACTAATATTAATATTAACTTAATATTATATATTACTTTAACATTAATGTATTCAATAAATATGCTAAACTATGCTATGTCAATATAATAATATATTAATATTCCCCAATGTAAATGTTAATTCAGAGCAAATGAAGACAGAGGCTGAAACATCTTGTCACAGTATTTCACACCACTTTAAATGCACTTTAAGGATACAGATGCATAAATAATAGTTGTAGTTTTACAGTTATGTTCATTTTGTACTATCATGTTACAGAACCAATATATTCTACAGTCAAAACTCACTGTTTTCTAATATGTCTCTTGTCATATACTTCATCTTATCTAGAGAGAAAACCATGCATTTCCAAAGTATGTCAATAAGAATGAGTGTCCTTACTGAACATGCTCACTGGATTTTATCCAACCAATTTGATCCAGTATGTAGCATCTAAAATATTTCAAGAATTGGTCAACTTGAATTACTTCTGCTTGTCAACAAGAAAAAAGTATTCGTGTCTACAAATCTTCCGAATTTTTTACTGCTTTCTGTTGCTGTTTTACTGTATTATTTCACTTCGTTTTACAATATGAACGTTTTCTGTTATATTTTCTACCCTGCTATCTCTTCATGAATATAAATATCCCAATATTATAACAAACAGTAACAGACATATACATGTGAGCACATTAATATAGTGTTTATTTATTTACTTTTTCCATCTCTGCCAAGCTTCCAGTATGCACATACAAGGGGAATATACACAAAGTTTTCAGCATTTAAAAAAGTATTATACAATATCCTGCCTTTCCTCCAACAGCCTCGTGGCTAACACATCTTTACTAACTTTATCAGGCTGAGAGTTGTGCCTGCCCAAGGCATCCAATGAGTTCCACAGGTGAATGAAAAATTTAAATGTAAAGCAAAAAGAAAAAGAAAAGAAAAAAAGAGGGGGGGGAAGAAGTGTACTGCTTATATACCATCCCATTGCACTTGAAGCAGTCTCTGGGTGGTTTTCAATTTTGAATTATGCAGGCTATACATCCCCTACCACCACTTTACCAACCTTAAAGAGATGGAAGGCTGAGTTAACCATGAGGTGGCTACCTGAATCCATTGGGATCAAATTCAGATCATGAGCAGTGTTTTGACAGCAGTACTGCAGTTTAACCATTGTGCCACAAGGCTCCATGAATGTAGGCTTCCCAAACTAAGCGCCACCCAACACTGGCTCAACAGCAACAAGCAACCTACTTTAAAAATTGGAGGAGGGGGAGATGAGGGAGGGTGCAGAAATACCCTTTTTCTATTCTCTTTCAGCTACCAGCAGAGGACATTACCCCAAAAACTACCCCACTGGCAGAATGTCACTGAATCCAGCAAAAGAGTACTGCAAAACTGTATCCCTTTTTTGTAAATTTTCCTCTAGACAAGAACTGTAATTGGGAGAAAGTTAGGGGTTCTCAGAAATCAGCTCATCTCATAATTATTTGTTCTAAACAAACTTCAAGATCAAAATACATGTAAGTTGTGTCCAGTCTAATTTTAGGGCAGAAAGCAGCTCATCAAAATTTTCAAATCTACCATGTATTTTGCATGAGAGACATAGTGATATACATATAAAGGATACCTGGGAGACCTAGATAAAGATTTTATACACATTATATATGCTGTATATAGTATCAGCTTCCTACACAATACACTTCAGTCTCTTGTCAGATAAAGAACACATGTATTTTATGATCTACATGTTACAAATTGCTTTTGACCGTTTAACTTTTGTAAGCAAAGAAGAGAAATGAATATTTTAAATAAATCACTTGGATCCAGCATAATTATGATAATACAAGGTGGTGGCCATAATCTCACTGCATGCAGTTTGGCATCAAATTACTTTTCTTATAAGTATTTACAGGACAATGTGATCAGGGCCACAAATCTCAAGGCCTGATGAAGTCAAATGATTTTCATACCTTCATATTAGATGCTTCAGTTTCCAGTTTTGTAAGATGATTTGAATTATCTTCCAGTTCTTGTCGAAGGTTTGAATTCTCCATTTTTAACGCCTCTACTTGTTTTAGCAACTGATCATATGACACTGCAGCCATTCTGGGCTACCCCAGGACCTAAAGAAAATAAAGAATAAATATTTTAGCCATCTGGTCCAAGAACTGAATTCTTAACCACAAGAAAATGCTTGACTAATTTGAAAATGCTATTTCATTCTTCACTTGAAGAATACAGTGGTTTTATCTCACAAAAACATTTTTACTGAACATTTAGTTGCATCAAATCATTTGCAGCTCAATAACCTTTAACTTCCTTATTTTAGGATTTAAAAGATTTGTTTATAGTTGTAATGAAAAATGGTTTCACAGTGTCTAAGTGGATCCAATATAAGCTGTAGTGATGCAGCCCTATTTACTGCTTTTCCAAGTAAATATCACTGTCTTTAGTTTAGAAAATAAAATGAATACTATTTCATTCAGAGTAATAACACATATTCAGAATGCAGGGCTTCAGAACTCAATGTTGTGTTAAATGCCAAGGCAACAATTAGTCTGCTTGAAGCACACTTTCAAAATTAAAACCATAATCTAGAGGATCACCAAACAAACTCTTCTCATTCCAACCAGACTTCCAAAGTATATCCAGCCCCCAATTTATGGTACAATCTGATTCTATATGGAAAGCTGCTTCTATGTAAGAAGTCCAGATGATCATTGTGACCACTCCTGGGCCGTTTAAAATCTTCACTGGATTTGTCACATCTCACTTGCTGCCACCCAATATGTGACCTGCTCTAACCTGGTTAATCACCTTTAAACTGCTCCTTTACTTTCACCAGGTTTGCCTTAAGTCAAAATCAAAAGAGCCAAAGCAGTTTTAAAATTGAAACATAAAAAGAAGTTCTTTACTGAAATATAACAAGTGGTAAACTGTACATTTTTTAGCTTGAGGTTATATTAAGAATACATGTTAAATTTCCCATGCTAGAGCGTGCATTCTCTGATATAAAGTAATAATTTTATACATCCCACTCTGAAACCCTGTCTCCTTTCCTTAGACACAATTTAACTCTCTCTCCATTCCATCCTCTTCAGCTCTTCTTTATATATCTCCTGCCAGCTACTCTGGATTGGCTCTCCTGATTCTTCCAGCCAATCTCTTTCTGTTGTTGCTGGGTAAAATGGGTGAGGGTTCTGTCACAATCATCATTATCATTGCACAAATGTCAAAAATAGGGGGAAGGGCTGTGCCCATCCAGAAGTAGCTGGACTTCACCTATCAATATCCCCAACCACCATGGTCAGGAATAAAGGAAGCTGGAGTCCAACAATATCTGGAGGGCTACAGGCTCTCCTTCCCTTCCCAAGAAGAGATAATGAAACTGTAGATATTAATCAACAGAAAAAAAATTAAATAGATATTGTGAATACATTTGTAATAATTTTAACAAATGTACTGTATTTGTGAACTCATTTGTGTAGATATAACAATGTACTAAATTCAACAAAGCAAATAGCTTCCTTTCTTCATTCTCTATGAACAAGAATCACATTGAACCCAAGTAAGCTTTCACTTAGAGGCTATTTTGTTACTGTATCTACCCTTCAAGTTGCTTCCAATTTACAGCCACCCTATGATTTAGTGATTTCCGGAAAATCCTACCATCAATCATCTTTCTTATGGCTTACTTTATTGAATCAATCTATTTCCTCTTTGGCCTTCCTGTTTTCCTGCTGCCTTCAACTTCTGCCAGCATCACTGTCTTTTCCTTTTTCTCTTCATCAGGTGCCCAACGTACACCAGCTTCAGGGTTTTGTTTATTTGTTTGTTTGTTCCTAGAGAGACTTCATGATTGGATGTGTCCTTCTGGAAGTCCATGATATCCATATAGTGGTGCCCCACATGACGATGATAATCCATTCCATGGAAATCGCTGTCTTGTGAAAACATCGTCTTGCGAAAATCATTTCCCCGTTGAAATGCATCGAAACCTGTTTAATGCGTTCCAATGGGGAAAAATCATTGTCGTTTTGCAAAGATCACCCATAGGGAAGCCATTTTGCAAATCGCTGATCAGCTGTTAAAATGGCTGTCCTGTGAAGCCTCGGTCCGGAAAACACCTGTTTTACGAAGCGCCGATCAGTGCCAAAATCGTCATCTTGCGAGAAACGATTTGCGAGGCACGGACCCAAACACCGCCCAGCAAAAATCGCCATTGGAAACACTGTTTTGTGAATCGCTATGGGGATCGCAAAACCTCATCGTCATGCGGATTCGTCGTTTTGCGAGGTCGTCGTCTAGTGGGGCACCACTATACAGCTTTCTTTCAATACTACATTTCAAAAGAACTACATGCTGCACAGCCCAGAATTTCCAGGGTAAATTACTCTAAACAATGCTGAGTGGGACTGACATTCAAAACAGCTGATGAAGTCCAAGCTACCTTCATAATGATTATATAGTTTCTAGTTAGCACTGGGTCCATTTCAAGGTCATAGCCTTTACTTTAAATAATCTGTCAGCTCAGATTCAAATAACTCAGAAGGTGGTTGTGGCGTTCACCCTCATGCCCCTTGCTTGACTGTCAGGACTCAGAGCACAGGAAGGCAAACAATTCCCTCTTTTGCAATGCTTCCACTAGGTGATCACTAAATCACCAATACTTCAGGAAGATGAAGATTCGGGTCCACACTTCAAAGTCTTTTAAATATAACTTTGGTTTATTGATTACAGAAATTGATAGTGATTCATGAATATCTTCTTTAAGTAAATTTATTATTAACAACTATCTTCTATTCAATAATACAGTACACTCCTAACTCTAATGACCTCTCAGATTTTCCCAAACTCCACACTCTATCTCCTTCTCCACTCTCTCATGCTACACATCTCTCCCCTGACTCTCCCTCAGGCTCCGCCTCTTATAACATCCGTCTCGGCTCTGCCTCTCAGCAACATAAATATGCATGAACAACTAACGTAACAAAACATGAACCACTGACATAATAAAGGGAACGCTACAGAGGTCCTCTTATGAGTCTCACTGCTGCCTGCCAACACCTCGAGAGGCTTACTCTATTTCAGAACAACTCAAATTCAATGTGCTGTGTAAAAAAGAGCCTTTCTCTTTATTGGGTTGAAGCTGGAGACATGACCCTACAATGAATGCAGTATAAAGTCCAATTTTTAAAGCTAGCTTCAAGACAAACTGTGCCACTCCAAACTCAAGGCTCTATAAGACACATTCCTCAGACTACAATATCTACCTACAGTGGTGCCTCGCTTTACGATTGCCCCACATTATGGCAAAACCGCTTAATGATGATCTTTTTGCGATTGCAATTGCGATCGCAAAACGATGGTCTGAATGGGGGAATTTCACTTTGCGATGATCGGTCCCCTGCTTCGGGAACCGATTTTTCGCAAAATGATGTTTTTCGAACAGCTGATTGGCGGTTTCAAAATGGCCGCTGGGTGATTAAAATGGCTCCCCGCTGTGTTTAGGGATGGATTCCTCACTATACAGGCAACGAAAATGGCCACCGTATGAAAGATCTTCGCTGGACGGGGAGTTTTTACCCCATTGGAAGGCATTGAACGGGTTTCAGTGCATTTCAATGGGTTTTTTTTGCTTTACGATGTTTTCGCTTAACAGCAATTTTCCTGGAACGGATTATCGTCGTTAAGCGAGGCACCACTGTAATATGATTAAGGAACTAATTATCAAAGCAAGACAGATATCCAGAAGTAACCTACTGCAGGACAGACCCACAAAATGATGGAACACTGATAGATGTCACTTTCAATCCACAATTGAGACTACTCACATGCATCTTAAGTGTACTCCACCCCATCCTTGACAACAATACTTCACTATCCCAAGCCTTTGGTGGCAGAACTATAATTGCTTAGAGACAACCCCCATTTCAAGCAACTACTGACATACAATGGACCACACAACACTGACACAGACATGGGGACTAAACCCTGCTACAAACCCACATGCCAGTTCTCCCTCCCCCCACCCAATATTTATTCTGGCAACATGATTATAAGACCTAAAATGTTACACACAAGAACAAGGGCACCTTTACTTGTTCTTGGCTAATGAGATCTATGCCACCTTTTGCCATTAGTGCCCCACTGCACTCTAGGACAAACAGGATAATCTCTATGCAAAAGAAGGAAAAGACATGAATCAGACATCAGAAATCACAATACACAGAAAGAAACCTAACTCATATCACATCAGTCTATGGAAGTTGCTATTCTGGAAAAGAAACACTACAGAATAGATGTTAGAGACCTTGGGCACCTCCACCTTCCATTTCAGGATGCCCCACAGATGCTCAATAGGGTTTAGGTCTTGAGACATGCTTGGTCAGTCCATCACTTTTACCCTCAGCTTCTTTAGCAAGGCAGCGGTCGTTTTGGAGGTGTGCTTGGGGTCGTAATCATGTTGGAATACTGCCCTGTGGCTCAGTCTCCAAAGGGAGGGGATCATGCTCTCCTTCACTATGTCAATGAACTGTAGCTCCCCAGTACTGGAAGCACTCATGCAGCCCCAGACCATGACACTCCCACCACCATGCTTGACTGTAGGCACAACACATTTGTCTTTGTACTCCTCACCTGCTTGCCGCCACACACGCTTGACACCATCTGAAGCATCAAATAAGTTTATCTTAGTCTCATCAGATCACAGGACATGGTTCCAGAAATCCATGTCCTTAGTCTGTTTGTCTCCAGCAAACCGTATGCAGGCTTTCTTGTGCATCATTTTTAGAACAGGCTTCCTTCTGGGACAACAGCCCTGGAGATCAATTTGATGCAGCGTGAGGCATATGATCTGAGCACTGACAGGCTGACCCCCACCCCTTCAACCTCTGCAGCAATGCTGGCAGCACTCCTACATCTATTTCCCAAAGCCAACTCCTGGATATGATGCTGAGCACGGGCACTCAACTTCTTTGGCCGACCATGGCAAGGCCTGTTCTGAGTGGAACGAGCCATGCTATCAACAAGGGATGCTAGCAGGCATCTTCAGAGTCCCAACATGTTTCCACAGGGTGTGTGGAAGGAAGGATGGTGCTAGGAGCTTTGATTGCAAACTGAC